AAAACCATAAGTTTGAATGATTAAACACGCAGTGCGCGCCCCTAGGAATTTCTGCTATATTTTGTGTAGCCTTGTTCTTGTCGATGAAGTCTCTTCCACCGCTGCACTCAATGGCGTGGGCCGTGGTTTATGGTTGGGGATTTTAATGAGGCAATGTGGCAGAATGAGCACTTTTCTCGGATTAAGCGAGCGCAAAAACTTATGGCTAATTTTCGTGAAGTTCTCTCTGATTGCAACCTATTTGATCTGGGTTTCCATGGAGTTCCTTGGACTTACAATAATAAGCAGGAAGGCAATAAAAACGTGAAAGTTAGGCTCAACGGTGCGGTCGCTTGCCCTCAATGGTCTTCTATTTTTCCCAACTGCAAGGTCTCTCATATTATTAGTTCCAGATCTGATCATTGTCCTATTCTTATTGAATTGATGGGTGCCTCTCGCTCCAGTCCTTTTGTTAAACAGTTGAAATATGAAGCGTACTGGGAGAGAGAGGAAGCGGAACTGAAAGTACATATTGAATCATGCTGGAACAAAAGTTTGCACGTCAATGATCTGGGAGATGTGGCAAATAATTTGGACAAGATGATGAAATCTCTTCATGGTTGGAGTAAGGTTCACATAGGCTATCTGCCAAAAAAGCTTGAAGCTGCGTGTAACAGGTTAAATGTGCTATATAAGAGAAATGATCATAATGCAATAGAGGAGAGGAAGAAAATACTATCAGAGATGGATGAGCTCCTAATAAAGGAAGAAATTATGTGGAAGCAGAGATCATGTTTGGACAAAATGAGATGGGGGGATAGGAATACTAAATTTTTTCATAGGAAAGCCACTTGGCGAGCGAAGAAGAATAATATTTCTGCTATTAAAAGAAGCGATGGATCTCTGTCTCAGGATATGGATGAAATCAAAGGTATCGCTAACTTATTTTTCAAGAACCTGTACTGTTGTGATCATACAGTTAACCCATCTCGTATTATTCCACTTGTTAAACCGTTGGTGAATGATGAAATGAATGAGGAGTTGTGCAAACAATTTTCTAAGCAAGAAATTAGTGACGCACTTTTCCAAATTGGGCCTTTGAAGGCGCCAGGACCTGATGGGTTTCAGCCAGATTCTTCCAGAGGAACTGGGGTTTGTTAAAGGAAGATATCGTTCGTGCCGTACAGCAATTTTTTCTTTCAGGAATTATGCCCGAAGGGATTAATGATACTACCATTGTTCTTATACCTAAAGTGAAGAATCCCCAAGAGATGAAGGATTTTCGACCTATTAGCCTTTGCAACGTCATATATAAAATTATTTCCAAGTGCCTCGTAAATAGAATGAGACCCCTCTTGGATGGTATGATTTCTCCTACTCAAAGTGCCTTCATTCCTAGAAGATTAATCTCTGATAATGCTCTCATCGCTTTTGAATGTATGCATTCGTTGAATACTTTGAAAGATAGTCGTGGTGAATATTGTGCATATAAGTTGGATCTTGTCAAAGCGTATGATCGTGTGGACTGGAAGTTTCTGGAAAGTATGCTTGGAGCGTATGGCTTTGCACCAACTTGGATAAAGTGGATTATGGCGTGTGTTACATCAGTAAAATTTTCAGTGAGATTTAATGGGCAGTTACTGGAGTCTTTTCATCCGTCGTGTGGGCTTAGGCAAGGAGATCCATTATCACCATACTTATTTCTCTTTGTGGCTGAAGCGCTTTCTTTGCTTTTTAATGATGCTTCGGCAAGAGGGGTGATTCAAGATTTTCGTTTGAACAGATATGCTCCAGGTATCTCTCATTTATTATTTGCTGACGACAGCCTTTTGTTTTTTAAGGGTTCTGTGGAGCATGTTTTGGCCGTCAAAGGTATTTTGACTGCTTATGAGGAGGGTACATGTCAATTGTTAAGCCCAGAAAAATGTTCCATTTTGTTTGGGAAAAAAGTTGCTTTGGAAGATCAGGTGTCCATTTTGGTTATCCTTCAGATCTCAAGTGAAGGATTTGATGATAAGTACCTGGGTTTACCAGTGCCGGAAGGTCGTATGAAGGCGGGCAAATTTCAATCTACCAAAGAGAAAGCTATTAAGCGAGGGGAAGACTGGGTTGAAAAATATGCTTCCAACGGGGTAAAGGAAATTCAAATCAAATCCGTTATTCAGGCCATTCCGGTCTATGGCATGAGTATTTTTAAATTTCCCGTGTCCCTCTGTGATGATTTATCGCAAATTATTCAGAATTTTTCGTGGGGTGATGACGAGAATAGAAGGAGAACTCATTGGTTGACTTGGGATAAGATGACAAGACCAAAAGGTGAAGGGGGCCGGTATGGGCTTTCGTGATCTCAGGCTATTTAATCAAGCACTTCTGGCCAAACAAGCATGGCGTTTATTGGTTTTTCCGGACTCTTTGTGTGCTAAGGTGATGAAAGCAAAATATTATCCGCATGGACATCTTATTGATACTGTATTCCCGCAATCGTCATCGCATCCGTGGCAAGGTATTATGCATGTCCTCGAATTATTGAAACAGGGTGTAATCTGGAGAGTTGTTGATGGGACCAGTATAAACATATGGAGAGACAATTGGATTCCTAGGGAGTCTGGCCTGAAGATTACTGCCAAGAAAAACAGAACAAGGATCAAATGGGTGTCCGAGTTATTTAGGTCAGATACTAGGAGGTGGGATGAGAATCTCATCAGGCATCTTTTTTACCCTCATGATGCAGAAGAAATCTTAAAGCTGCGCACGCTGAATTTGGGTGAGGGAGATTTTATTGCCTGGCATCATGAGAAAAGTGGCATGTTTTCAGTTAAGAGTGCGTACAGGCTTGCTCAGAACCTCATGGACTCGAAGGTTAATGTGGGAAATTCTAGTGTAGCAGTAAATGGGGAAAGGAGGATCTGGAATATTATCTGGAAAGCTAATGTCCCTCAGAAGATTAGAATTTTTGCTTGGCGGGTGGCTTCAAATAGTTTGGCAGTTCAAGTTAATAGGGTTAAACACCATCAAGCAATCCTGAGAATCTGCACAATTTGTGGCATCGAAGATGAATGCACTTTTCATGCTTTGGTGAGTTGCCCAAAGGCACGTGCACTTCGTTTGGCTTTGAGAAAAGTGTGGAATTTGCCTGCCGAAGTGCTTTTTAAAAATACTGGGCCAGATTGGTTTCTTATTTTACTGGATCAATTAAGTCCAACAGTGCGTGAGCAAACTATTTTCATGTTATGGAGAGCTTGGCACTTGAGGAATGATTTGATTTTTGCTAAAGGTAAAGAATCCATATTAGCCTCTGTAAATTTTGTTCATAATTACTGGGCTTCCTTTTCGTCTTGCCACTCAAAAACGCAGGGAGTGATCAGTTACAAAGGCAAGGAATTGGGGGAGGGCATTCAGGATTCGAATAATGGGGAGAGGAAGGATGTTAGTTGGAAACCTCCCAACGCGGAGTTTTTCAAAATTAACGTCGATGCAAGTTTTGTGAAGGCAATCACCGCCGCAAGTGTGGGGGTCGTTGTCAGGAATCATATTGGAGAAGTAATCATTTCCTCTTGGGATTATATTGGAGCCTGCTATAGTGCTGAGGAAGCGGAAATTAGAGCGACAATCTCTGGATTGTATATCGGTATCACCCTTCACCAACCCATCATATTAGAAACTGATTGTTCTTTTGTGGCTGGTGTTCTTGAAAATTACAGGTTTGACAGATCTTCCCTTGTTGACTTAAAGAAGGAAGCATTCAGTATTTCTAAGATGCTGCCGAATGTGAAGATCTCCAAGATTAGCAGGAAAGCTAATAAGGTGGCGCACGAGATAGCTAAGTTTAGTTTTAATAATAAGTCTGATGGTGTTCTTATTAATAGCGTTCCGGCCTGTGTGGAACATGCTGTAATGAACGATTGTATTAACATTCTAAGTTAATTAATATATGGGTGGGGTTTTCAAAAAAATATATTTTGTGTAGCCTATAAAAAATAAATTTGCTCCCCACCGAAAAATCGCTCGAGACCTGAAGCCCCCAATACTCCCCATCACACCTCCACGCCGTCGACTCCCTCCCTCCCTCCCTGCTTCCTCCCTCTCGTCCCAGCCACCGGCTCACCCACCACCCCCACAAACCCACCCAACCACGCCGTCGATCCTCCCCTCGCGCGGCAGCACGGCCTCCCCGCTTCAGCCGGTGTCCTATCGGACCGGCCGGTCGACCACGCTGTAAGTGTAAGTCCGACCACCGCATGCAGCTTCCCTTTGGTTTTCCGCTTCTTCTGTACTGATCCTACCTACAAGCTGCAAACTGAAATCTACTCGTCTTGTCTATGCTCGTGCTGGATCATAATGCTCATCATCTCCCATGATTTTACCTTGCAGCTGCCCCCTTCTCCGCTTCCATTGGGAGAAATTAAGCATCTCCATAATTAGTCTCTCCTTGGGACTTGGGAGGAATTTCCATAGGCTTCTTGCCATCCACTGATCCACACCACCTACTTCTTCTTCACCACATTGCCGGTCCAGACTCCAGACTCGCAGCTATGTAAGTCAACGGCCGGCCTATAACAACAGACTAGCTAGCCAGATTATATATCCACCACCAGAGATCGTAATTGGGAGGGGAGGGGAGGGACCGAGCTAGCTAGCATGGATATCACGGAGGGGATCATGGGCTCCGTCCTCTCCAAGCTGAGTAGCTGACCCCAAGTTACTCAAGGATGAGTACAACCTGCCCTCCGGCGCCAAGGAGGACCTCAAGTATGTTGCACAACAGCAGAAGCGCTTGCAAGCTTACTTCTGCAGTATGACGGACGGATGCGCCACCGGACCAGCTCGACAAGTTTGACAGAGCTTGGCTATACAAAATCAGCGTGGTGTTCTGCCAGACTGAGAACATCCTCGACCTCTTGTTGGTGCCCGCTGAGCCGGCCGCTAACCTGGGTGTGTCCGGGCGGCTCTTGAGAAGGTCCAGAGATTCACCGACTCCTCCTCACCCGGATCCTACTGATCTGATTGCCGGTATCAAAGCGATGACATTGGATGTTCTGGATGTGTTTGCCGCACATAAACGTCTTGATGCTTGCCACAAAAATGAGGAAGAGAATGAGCTCGTCTGCATCGACGAACCAAGAGATGTGTTAATCAAGATGCTGACAGAGGGAGATGACATTTCAATGAAGCAAAACAAAATAGTCTCCATTGTCGGTCATGGGGGATTGGGCAAGACAACTCTTGCCCAAGTTGTGTACCATCAGCTTAAACCGCAGTTTGATTGTGGGGCTTTTGTTAGGGTCCCCCTTGAACCAGCTGACATGGTGAAGTTTTTCACGGAGATGTTCCATCAACTTATTGGCGTGGAAAATCATACGAACATCAATGAAGAAGCAAATGATATAAGACAGCTCGTTTCTCAAATTAGAGAATTTCTTCTGAACAAGAGGTATGGATCAGTTAGTGAACATGTTTTTTTTTCTTTTCCTGTAGACAATATGAACTTTATCAGTGCACCAAGTAGATACAAAATACATGTGTTTTAATTGTTATACGGCATTGCAATTTGGTAGCTCTCTTTAGATTTGATTTGTTAGATACCACAATGTGAGCACCGTCTATTTCTTAAAACACACTGTTTTCTTAGATGGCTCGATCTTTATATATAGGGCCTTGCAGATGCACATAGGTGAGTATTAAGCCTTACTCGAGTTTGACTTTTCATTATCAAACTTTGATAGGTACCTGGTCGCGATTGATGATTTATGGAACGAAGATGACTGGCAGATCATCTCATCTAGCTTGACAAATAATGACTATGGTAGCAGAGTAATTACTACTACTCGTGTTAATGACATAGCTAAGTTATGTTGCTCAGGCTGTGACGAGTCGATATATGAAGTTCATTATCTTGGATACGAATATTCCAGAGTGTTGTTCTTCAAGCATTATTTTCGCCATGTGGCCAGTTGGCCTAATGCACCTGGAGACATTTTTTTGTTTGGGATCTTGAAGATGTGCAGTGGTACACCTTCAGCAATAATAAGTATTGCTTCGTTACTCACAACCAAGGTAACCCCAACAAAGCCATGGCAAGAGATGATGTATTCTGTATATTTTTCTTGGAAGCAGACGCCACATTCTTTAGGTTCTGAATCCGAGAACATTACTGGTTTCGAACTCTTCAGAGAGATTATATCACTTATCTATGCTCACCTTCCCTGTGCTCTGAAGGACTGTTTGCTGTACATGGCTGTTCATGCTAGGAACCAAATAATCCATAGGACTACTATGGTTAGGAAATGGATTGCTGAAGGATTCATCTCTGAAAATGTGAGGCATAGTCGAGAGGAAGTAGCAAGCGGGTACTTTGATGAGCTCATCAACAGAAATTTCATCCGGCTGTCAGAATATGATAACTATTCAAGGGAAGAGATGTATGAAGTTAACCAAATGGTACTTTATGCTCTTAGGCAGATATCAGAAAAGAAAAAATTTGCAACTGTCTTGTCTGACGTTGGTATTTCAAGGGAATATGCTCATTATTTCCGTTTGTCAGTCCAATGTTCTTCTGGTTCGGAACTTTCAGTTGACACGGAAGCGATGAAACCTGATGGCAATATTCGTTCCGTGACTATTGCTGGGCCTGCAGAGTTTTATTTAAACAATGATTTGGTGTATCTACGGGTGTTAGACCTAGATGGCTGCAAGGATTTGGAAAACTCGGCTATGGACCATATATGCCAAATGACCCTGTTGAAGTACTTGAGTCTCCAGCACACTCCAGTCAAGAAGATCCCACCAGAAATCAGGAGATTGTGCTAGCTATCTGGAGACTCTGGATTTAAGGCAGACTGAAATCAGCAATCTCCCACCAGAAATCGGTAAACTGCAACAGCTGAAGACTCTAGATGCAAGGCAGACGAAACTCAGTTGTCTCCCTGCAGAAATCGGAAAATTGCAAAATCTGGAGACCTTAGATGTAAGACAGACACAAGTGAAAGAGCTGCCAAAGGAAATTGTTCGTCTTCCCAAACTAGCACATCTTTATTTTGGTCATTCTAGTTCCGGCCAAAGAGTGAAGTTGCCTGTGGGAAGTGACCAGTTGAACTCAGTGAAGGCGCTTGGCACTGTTGATCCAAGGGAATGGTCGGAAAGTGCCATGCAGGAGATCAGTGGACTGACAGGAGTAACGGAGCTTGAAGTAGTGTTGTATGATCAACCTTCCGACAAGGACCGAAATGATAAGTTGCTGTCTTCCATAGGCAAGTGCGCGAATCTTGAATATCTGATTATTTATGGTGATTACATCCCAAGCGACGAACTTCCTTTATCCAACAATTTTTCTTCACTTGAGAGATTGAAAGTGGCAGGAAGGTTTGGGGAAGTTCCCGGTGGCTTGCAGGGCTTACCACTCTGAGGAAGCTGGATATCAGAGTCTGTAAGCTAGACCAAGATGATCTTATGATACTTGGAGGTCTGCCGGCCCTGAGTACTCTTGCACTGATTTGCATTTATAGGAAGAAAGCGGAACAAACAATTCCTCCAGGTTTCCCGAGCGTTGAGGTTTTCAGTTTCGACTCTTATGTGCCATGGGTCACCTTTGAGCAGGGAGCTATGCCGAAACTGAAAAACCTCCACCTGAAGCTCTATGCCTGCCCAGCTGATAAATTTCCTTGAGGTATCATCAACCTCCGCAGGCTTGAGAAGATTACCATCCGGTACTCTCCACACAATGCAAGCAATGGCGGTGTCAAGAAGGTAGTTGCTGCCATGAGAGAACAGGCTGCCAGCCATGGTAATCAGATCAAGCTTTCAGACAATGGCGACTCTGAGGTTGTGAGAAGTGGTCAGGGGGCTGAACGCACACCATCTGGATTCAAGTTCGTGTGGACCTGGTTTTGGCCTACTAATAATAAAATAAAAGAAACAGCAAGTTTCGGACGAAACAATAGCTGGTCCTGAAATCGAAGAATCCTGCTAGCTTCGTCGCCACTAAGAGTACGTTTCAACCACACTCCTCCGCGTTAAAAATTCCTCCGACTCGCCTCCTAGGCGACGCGGGGGTCGGGGTCGGGCCCTCGGATCATTTACTCAGCAAGTAGGCGGCGTGGGGGCTGCGGACGTTGGCGCAGTGGCGGTTCCTCGCAATCCGTCATGGCTCCATGTAGAAGATCCGCCTCTGCTTCGATCTGTCCCGATCCGTGCTGGCGCCGGTCCTTGGCGGCGGCTTCGGCGTCCCCTATGGCCGGCCTGGCGGATCTGGCGTGCGGGTGAGGTTCCGGGGGAAACCCCTAGCTGGCGCGGCAGCCTCCCCAAAGTCGACGCCTTTGGCGCCGATCCCCTTCCTGAAGGCTTTGGGGTGGATCCTCTCCCTTCCGCCTCCTCCTCGAGCTATGGCGAAAGCTTTTGTTCCCCTTGTCTGAGCGTCGACGGCACCCTGGTGTCGTGCTCCTTCTTGAAGGCGGCGGCTGGGAACAACTCTTGGTGGCGGGGCTGCTGGTGGCGTGGTGGCGGTGCGCTTCGGCCTTCTACTTGGTGCTGAGCCTTGCTTCGCGGGACCAGCGGACGGTTTCTTTGGTGGATCAGTGTTCCATCCATACATTGATGGCGACGGATCTTGACGGCATGGCGCAGTGCAGATTCGGAGTTCGATGTGGGAGGATGGACTCGCGCAGGAGGACGACGCTGTCTGGCGTTGTGGTGACGTCGATGGCAGAGAGATCTGGCATGGTAGATACAACAGTACAGCTCTAAAGATGGACTCGTGGCAGGTGGCTGCGGCGGCCTCATACCCGGCAGGCGTCCTGGTTGAGAAGTGCGCCGGACTGGTAGGTGCCCCATACCAGGCAGGCGTCCTGTTTGGAACCTCAGGTCTTAGATGTTTAGGTTTGGCTGCGATGTCTGTTTGGTATTAGGCCCAGACTATCAGCGCCCCTTCATCATTTGGATAGGCGTAGCGACAGTTGTTGCTTAGACGGTGGCTTTAGTCTTGTTGTTGTATTTCTTTGTAAGGTCTTGTGAGAATAATTAATAAAGTGGTCGTATGCATCGCCCAGATGCAGAGGCTGGGGGTCATCCTCCTTTTCTAAAAAAAAAATCTATACTTATTTCCGGCAACCCTTATTAATTATGCGTGTATCGCCTATGTTTATGAACTTGCCTATCGGGTTATTTTTGTAACGCTGCGCTGTGGTTCTAATATGAACTCTTCATGTTATTCTATTTGATATACTCCCTCCTTTCCTAAATATAACTCTTTTTAGAGATTTCACTACAAACTACATACGGATGGATATAGAAATATTTTAGAGCGTAGATTAACTCATTTTGTTTTGTATGTAGTTCATAGTGGAATCTCTTAAAAGACCTATATTTAGGAACAGATGGAGTACTTGATAGTGCTACTTGTGACTTTCCAAACATTCTAAAATCCTGCATATCTTGATGAGGTTGATTTTTGTGCAATCTGAAAACAGGACTGGAGAAAGACAAAGTAAATTGGAAGGAAATCACATGAACTCGACTTGTTATCCTCAATTTCTTTTGCACACAGACACCACAGATGTCTTTTGTCAGTGAAGAATACATGTTAATGCCAAAAAAACATTGGATATTTTTACTATTTTTCTCAGGTTTTATAGTCCAGCCAGGTGTGTTTCAACCCAGGAGCAGAAAATCCATGTCCCTTCAGCAAACCCCTATTTAAGCCCACTTGAAGAAAATAATTAGACTGAAGGAAAAAAACTGCATGGCAGCGAGATTAAAAGATAAGCAAGGATGGTTGGAAGCAGC